ATAGTCCGACCTGATCTGCCTGTCACTTTCTAAAACGATGCCTTTCTGACTTCTCCATGTAGCTTTGAAAGGGGAGGAAGCTTCCTCACTAATATGTCACTCAACCCACCCACCTAGACACCCACAGCCTGTTTGAAACCAGCATAGGAAAAAAAAGACCACCACACCACACACCCTGGATTGTAGCCATGCTGAAGAAAGCGCTTCTTTAAATATCAATATCAGTGAACACTGGTCCTAGGGGTGAAGCCAGAAATAAAACCCTACTTAACTTGTATCTCAAGCCACCCTTCAATCTTACAAAACGAGCCGAGCTGTGCGTTTGCTATTTTATGTGCTAATCAGTGGCAGCATCACTGTGTTATATTTCCAGAAGAATTTTTGTTTATTTGCATTGCAGAGTGCCCATCACTCACACAGGGACTTCTGGAGCACCACTGGGTGCCGTATGACTCAGGAGTTGCCCTACTCAGTGTCCAGTTGGTGACACTTCTCTAATGGCCTGAGGAACAGAAGGAATGTCCTGGCTCTGGGGTTGGTTCTGCAAGGAACTGGCTGCAGTGCCATTGCTGAGGCAGCAGTGTGGAGAATGACACAAAAATCAGGGAATGGGTTTTGCTGGAACCAGACACCAACAGGAGCAGTGATTTCTGGGGAAACAGGAGGGCTTCAGACCTAAAGGCCATGTGCATATGCCTGACTAAGTCCACAGTGATGAAGGGCTGAGCTCAGCTCTGGGGCTCTGCAGCTCCCTGGACTGTGCCTGGGAGAAGGCTTTCACATGGTATAAAGGGCTCCTCTGTGTCTTTGGCACAGTGGCCAGGCATACTGCTCAGGGAGCAAAACCTCTTTCTAAATATCTGAAAAAGGTCTTCTGGGGCAATCTGCATCTTCCCACCCTGAGGCTGATAATATCCACCAATACCACCACTCTTATTGCAGACAGCCTTGAGAAAAGCGAATGCATCTAGTACATCACCGCTCACATGGACAGCAGCTCTTTGGGCAGCACTTGTGTTTGCTGGTCTCTAAAGAAATGGCAAACTGCCTTTCTTTCTGCTTTTGAAAATGCCAACATGACACAGTCCTAGCAAGCCTGTGAAACACAGTCAAGATTCAGAGCAGAATGGATTGCCACCTGGTTCACAGGAACACCTGGCAGCGGGATATATGGAAACACATTGCCATATACAAGGAAATTAATGTTTTTATCCATTACAGGAAGATAGGACAGCATAAGAATAAGTCTTCAAAAGACTTAGCAATTAAGAGCAGAATGGATGTGAGTCATCTGTCCAGCAAAAGTTGTGCCAGATGCAGACGCAAAGTAGTTCAGCATGTTAATCCCACTTAGGCAATGCTTGTCCTATGTCAGGGAACATTTTCTGTCAGTTTGTGAGGTGGTACATGCACATGCATGCATATGCATGAACTTCAGTGTAATTTGGGGTTTTTCAGTTTGCTTATCTGCCAGTTGTTCATCTTAGGGCATTTTTAATATGTCTCAAAGTAATTTGGAAGTATATACATTTTGCATTTTGGTCCAGATATTGTCAATATAGCAAATACCTAGCTGCCTAAAAATTTCGATTTCAATTTGAAAGAAATACTGTTGTTCTGAAATGTGATGCAGATCAAAGCAAGCAAAGCAAAGAAAGATTGAAGAAATTTCCAGCAGCTCAGCAGGGTCTATACCTGCTCAGTGGGACAGAGAGGACAGTGGAATGCAGCCTTGACAGTAAACCTTTGCTGGCAGTTTGCAAGACTCCTAGTTCCAGGGCAGTTCTGCAGGGAAGGAGTCCCTGAGTGCTGAGCAGGTGTCCCAAATCCCAAGGCTCACCTCCAAAGCCTTGAGTGAGGTTCCCAGACAATTGAGATGTCAGGTGTGTTTGGAAAAGCATCAACAGTGTGGGAAGGAATGAATTTCTGTTTTCTGACTGGAAAATTTCTGACCAGCTTCTCTTTGAAAAGCTTTGGTGTTATTCAATTTTTGGAATGGGAAAGATGCAGAATCCCTACTTTCTTGATTAATCCTGGAATCCTTAGATATCCTGGTCTCAGATTGAGCATCAGAGCTTTTGTAGGTAGAACATGACAAGTGGTATGGCTGATGAGAAATACTGGCCAAAGTGCCACTCTGCCCTGGTAGCTCTAGGCTTGCAGATGACTCCCCAGGTGATGTTTTCAGTCAGTCGGAGAGACCTTATCTTGCAGAGAAGCCCAAGGTTTGAAGCTGGGGAGTGTTTATACCTTCACCTCCCTCTACTTTGTAGAAGAGCAGCTTGCTGGACCTTGTGAGACAGATTCTGAGGTTCTGGAAGGTGAAGTCAGAATGTTTTGGTGAAGGTTAGACATGACTGCTGTCCAAAGAACTGCTAACTATATGAGTGTGGAGGTACTAAGTGTACAAGGTGCCTCAGACTGCTTGTAAGAGCGGTGGTAGTAGTGGCAGACATTGTGATGCTGTAATGTGATTTACTCAGCTGTTTCCCATGCTTACCACGACTTTATTTACATATTCCTCATATTGTGCAGGTTGTCTGGATGGGGAAATGTGTACAGTTGGGAGTGGATCTGACTTTTGAAACACAGACCCAGGGTCATGTGAAAAATGCATGTTGCTGTTTTGATTGCAATCAGTTGTGAAAATGCAAGAGGATGAAAAGGTTTTTGCTGGCTTGCTAATGGGTGCATGTGTATTCTTTTTCATGCTATTTCAATGAAAACACCTGGAAATGAACTGAGGGTTTGAGGATTCAGGGAAGGAAAATGAGCTGCCAGTGCTGAAGGCAGCCAAGCTGCGTAGCAGACAGCAATATGCTACAGCTTGTGAGGCACTGCTGGGAGATAGGGGAACAGAGGAGCACAGAGGTCAGTGCTATTAACTCTGTGTAGTGGTATGTGTGAGTGAGAGCAGGGCTTTTTCAAACAGGGCTATTAATTTCTCACCATATTTTGCTGATTTTTTTTCATCTTCAGTTTTATAGAGAAGATACACTTTTGGTGAGGGCTTGCAAGCTGCCCTTAGAGGGGCTGAGCAGAATCAGGTCTAGCACTGATCTCTCTGAATTCAAGCGGTTGGTCGCAGTGACAGGCTCACGGGAAGAGGATCAGCCTCTTGGGGGGTCCAAATCTTCCTGGCTTCTTCACTTCACTGCTCAGCTCGCCTGTGAAATGCATGAGCTGTGAGCACACGAAACATGAAGGCATAAAATTAATTCAAACTCCTAAGATGCCCAGCTCTAAAATCGGCCAGCAGCAAAGTGTGGAGCAGTGGTAATTAACTTCCATGGTGGCAGCTCTGGGAGAGGTACACATTGGGCACGATGGGAGACTTGGTGTGATGCACCACAAGCACTGCTGAGGTGGCAAACCCCCCCCGGGACCAGGGAGCACAGCAGGGTGCTGGAAAAGAGCAGCTCTGAGGGGAGGAGATAAAGAAAAGGGCTCTTTGGTGCCTTCTGTGTTCCTCCTGCCCCTCCAAACGTGGCAGCTGCTGAAAGAGGCCGTGAAGTGTGTTTCTCCTGAGTGCTTGCTGTAAACAGTGCGTACAGCAGTGCTGATTATACATCAGCTCGCTGGGCTAACTATAGCATAGTAATTAAAGGGGTGAGAACATTTTGGAGTACTTTCCGCCACTTGTTGTCTGTGTAATCCCCCTGTGTTTGGCAATAAATAGAACTTTTAAGTTTAATTAATATACACTTGGCTGGCTATCCATTTAAAAGCATGCTTCGGTGGCCTGAGACATTATCCACTTATGCAGAGTGTTGCTGGAAGAGCTGGTGAAACACTGGAGAGGGAGTGCAGGGCCAGGGCAAGGGGTGCTGCTGAGCCCTGGAGCAGGGAGGCACAGCTTCATGTCCCAGGGAATGTAGGTCAGTGGGCAATTCAGAGCATGCTCTGACACAAGCATACAGGCACTGCAAGAGAAGGCAGAGTAAATAAACAGCTTTTCTCCTGAATGTGGGGCAGCTTGGGCTGTTTCTAAAATTTATTTCTGAACGCTGGGTTTCGTAAGTGAGTTCCTCTCAGGCTGAGGTGTCAGAGGGTCAAACGAGTCTTGAGAATAAAATGGAGTCTAGTATCTCTTTCTTTCCCTCAAACTTCTTTTGTGTAGGGCTATTCAAACCATTGCTTTTTTTTTTTTTTTTTTTTTTAGTTTAGCAGAAACAACAGCAACAAAAAAATTGGTTTGGATTAGATCAAATATACATTCCTTCTCTCCTCCTCCCCTCCTGGGATGAAACAAACAAACAAATCATGCCGTTTAGCACCATTGTGTCATTTGCCCCGGAACAAGCCATTTCATTTCATGTGCTTTTTGAAAAGCAAAGGCAAGGAACAGCTAGAGTTTCATAAAACTGCCAGAGGACTTGGACTCCAGTCCCAGCTCCAGTGAGTGCCGAGTTATTTATCTGCAAGAGCAGGGTGTCAGCGGGAGCTATTTCAGGCCCCCCTTTGCTCCAGAATGCACCCCAGGCTGATGTTTGTAGGAATTTTCTGTGGGTGGCAATGACTCTGTGCAGGTGAAGGAGTGAGTTGTGCTGCAATGGATGCACAAAGTGAGCCACGGAACAGAAGTGAGGGTCAGGGTGGATGAAGAAAAGACTTGGAGAGAAAAAAGAATTCAGGAATGAAATAGGTTTATAATGTTGCAGCTTCTGCTTTTTTCTTTCAGTCTCTGATACTATTTTCCTACTGCTCTTCCTGCCTCTCCTGGCTCTTTACCCCATGCCTGCTCACCTCCTGTTCTCATGTCTTTTTTACCTTCTCAGTCTTTCTCTCTGGATCAGGTGTTTTGATCTGGGAAGTCAAGTTAGTATGCCATCATGTAAACGAGTAACTTATGCTTCCTAGTGATGAGCTAGCACATGTAGGGTTGAATGTCTTGAAGACTCAGTTGTAGGTAACCAGCTTTAATTTTCACAGCTTTTTGTTTGTTTTGTTAATTTTTGTTTTTATGTTTTTATGTTGATTTTTTTATTTTTTATTTTTTTATTTTAAAGTGCTCTGCAAGAACAGATTCACTGGCCTATTCTGCAGGGTGGAGTGTGTGAAAAATGTCCTTTCTCCTGACTTCAGGGTGGAATGAAACAAACACTCGTTGAGTACAAATAATTTGTCCTATTTTCTCCATCAGTTCCAGGAAGACAGGAAGTGTTTCCCCAAGGAAAACCTTTCTCTGCATTATCAGTAGAAGAGCCTGAGGTGGCTGGCTCAGGTGCAAGTGTCGGCTGTGGGTGTCCACCTGTGCCTGCAGGAGCAGCGTGCTCTCTCTGATTGGCCTGGCCAGTGGCAGTTGAATTAGCAACAGAGGGTCCAAAAATAAGCAGATTTAATAAAAAAAGCTTCATGGCGTGGTGGTTGGGCCCGTGCTGTGCAACTAATTAACTTGCTAACCCTGTGGAAGCACTTCCAAAAATGAACTCCTGTTCTCTGCTCCCGCGCTTCCTGCATTCAGCTTCCTGCGCTGCTTCGGCTTCTGTCCCCTTCCCCAGGCGGTCAGCATAGCAATGTCACTTATACCTGCTGTGTGTACAGGAGGGACATGTCACATCTTGTGCCTTTCCTGGTCTGCCACTGTGACCTTCTGCAATAGCTGAGAACATCAGTTCCCCCTCCCTGAAGTGGGGCAGCTCTTATGCTGAAAGAAGACTTCTCCTTTCTTTGGGCTTCCCTGTTACGTGCAGAAGTAATCCACCAGTAATTGTATATAAGGACAAGGAGGTAAGTGTTTTTTGAGTTGTGCTTCCTTTTCTTCATGCCAAGTAGAGTGGTATCCCTCTGCACAGTTGTCAAAGGCGTAGATGTGCTTCTCTTTTATGTTGTGAGATTTATCAGCAATGTATGTGAAACACAGCTTCATTTTTTCTTTCTGTTTTCTCCATTCGCAGAAATATTGTGATTTTCCTACTGTGGCTTGAAATGCCTGGCTCTGGCTATTTGTACCTGCTTTGTAATAGCCCCACTTGAGAGGTGAAAAAGGAGGCTCTAAAGCCCAATTCCAAGATTACGACCTGCACATTATTTTAATTTAAACTCGCCTCCTGTTACAACAGAGAATCAAGGTGTAAGTGTGTAAAGTGCTTTGGGAGCCCTGTGATAAAAGGCCCTATAAAAACATAAATGTAAGCAGATGGCAGACACAACCTGCCTGGTAGGAGCAACACACAAGCTCACAGAAAAGGGTGCAAATTCAAGTCCTATCCGAAATTATCTTGGACAACAATAAATGTAACCTTTGCCAGGGCCTGGGCATTTGTAATGTAGACCCTGCTATTTCTCACCACATTGCCTCAGCCTGAGACACAGGCTAAATCATCGGGTTGCACCTCCAAGCACGTTCAGGCTTTGTGTGCCTGTTTGAACAGAGATCCATGACTGTGGAACAACACCAATGGCAAAGGCATGGCCATGGCTGTATCTCAACCACTTTAATGTTGATATCCTCAAGAAGAGGCATAAAATAAGAAGCCCTTGGATACTGCATCACCAGTTTGTAGTTAAGCTCAGTCTGGGGCATGATGTGCAGAAATGGAAAGGAGTGAAATGTAACGAGCAAGACATGCAGCGACATGTGTTTGCTGAGGAAAAGGGAGAGCTGATCTTTTTTCTACCCTTGCCTTTTCTTCTAAACACCATTTTTTTCCCCAAAGGATGGATTTTCTCTTTATCTAACTTGTAATTTTTCCCTGCTGTGAAATGTTTTGGGTCAGATGATATTTTGCTGGGCTTTAGAAAACTGCTAAGAATTAATTAATCTGTAATTAAATTGATGGGGAAAAGATGTACAGAACTGTTAATAGAATTACATCCTCAAAAGGGACAAAAATAAGGCAGTTTCTTTTCATTTCTCTTTTTTTACAGTTTGCAGTGTGACAGATTTCTGACCAAGTTCGAGTTTAGACAAAGTGCATGTGGCAAAAGTTGGAAGTGTTGTAATGCTGCCTACTGTGATTTGTATAAACATTTAGGATCCCCTGGAGAGGAATGTAATCCAGGGTTCCTTGCTTACACAGAAACGCTCAGAACAATATAATATTTGAAAGAAAAGAAACATTTTTAATTGGATTTGTGCTGACTATTTTCGAAATACAAAGAAGACACTTTATCCAGTAAGCTGCAGATTGTTTGCAGTCACAGGGAATCGGCAGGACTCAAATTAGCTGCAGGACAGCCCTTGCTGTTGTTCTGTGAGCCCAACAAAATGTGAGATTTGAAGGAAAAATACTAATGATAAGAAAAGGCTGGAAAATTCAAGCCACATGCTTTTCTAAGTTTATGCAAGTTAGGCTGAACGGATCATGTGATTTCCTCATGCATTCCTCAAATGACAAAAAAACTGAAGGGGAAGATTTTCAAGTTTGTCTTTCTTCTGACTAGAATACTTGCTATGGGATGGGGCAGATCCTGGCATGTGCCCTCCTTTTCTCACGGAACTGTGCTGCCGAAGCGTGACCTTGGCTTGCTCCCCAACACCTGCCACCTCACTCTGAACCCCTTGTACCTTTGGGGATGACCTTCCCTGCTTTTAGCACCCATCCCCCTGCTGTTAGCAGGAGAGGGGCAGCTCAGGCACTGCTCCCAGTTTCATGCTGGGATGAGTCCCTTTGCTGTTTGTATTGAATGTGAAGAGAGGAGAGACCTGTTGTTTCATCAGCGACATCAAAGAGAAGAAAATTGCTCTCCAGTGTATCCAAATTTGCAACATCCCCTTGCTTTTGTAGTAATAGAGAGAGGATATTAGAGTCTTTTAGTAAAGGTATAAGGCTTGGTTTTATTTCCCTTTTCCTTCCGTTGTTGCATTTATTTTTCTTTCTTTGCACTGCTGATTGGTGAGGTCCATTGGTAGTGTCAGCAGGTCTTATTTTGCCAGATGCAGCATTCCTCTTAACATCAGTAGCAGCTGAAGAATCACTAAATCTAAGGTGAGAATAGGCTTCAGAGCAGATAGAGTGCCCTGAGGCAACTGAAAGTTCTGTGCCTCTGTAGTTGTTTGTATTTATAATTTCCAAGTATTAAAAGAAATGTTAAGATGTATTCCTATAGAAAGAAAAGATACAAGCTCAGGTTCACCCTACCAATCATTTGGCACTTCAGGGATGATGTAAAATAAGGAATATTGCCACTCAGGCCTCCTTCTATGTAACTACTGAAAAGAAACGAGTGTCTTCATGGGGAATTTAAAACTTCACACAATCTGAGGGCTCCTCTGGAGGGGACTGTTGCTTCACTGACTCATGTGACTACACACCTACCATAGGTGTCTCATCCATGGGTAGCCTGTAAGTGAAATTCTAGACAGTACAATTTGTATGTGACAAGATCCCATAATTGCTGTTTAAGGAAGGTGCCCCCTAGGTTGGTTCCAGTAACTGTTTGGCAGAGCTGTTAGCATATTAGGTCAGGATTAATAGAGCCAAGTGGGGAGGAATGATTTTTTGGAGGGACTTGAAAAAGGAGGGCTCCTAGAGAATGAGATTTAAGGTGGGGCAAAAAGAAACAGGATGGGAAGGAGGACTAAGAGTAAAGGCTTAAAAGTAAGGACAAGAAAGTTAAGCTGAATATACCTAAGTAACAGATAAATGCTTATGTTCATATCACCTCTTTAAGAAAATTTCGTAAGGAAGATGACAAAACCCTCTCTTGTCTATGGATTATGGTCTCCTCCTTTCCAGGAGAGTGCCAGTTACAACAAGGGGAAGCTAAGATAAGGAGGAATGCACGGGGAGGATGATTCTGCAGGACAGTTTTGGGAGGTCACCCTCATATTTCCTAATATTAGACATCTACAGGTATAGATGTCATGGCTGAGCTAGTTGTCCTGAGCTGCCTTTTCAGTCAAAAGAGAGCAACTGCTGCTTTTAAGGTGCAGTTCAGCTGAGCTATTTTAGATATCTGCTGAAAATGTCCAGATGTCTGCGATGAATCCTACTTTGCCTGTTTCTGTTGATGAAAATGGAGTTGAGGGATGTTAACTCAGATGCAAAGTCTATAGTTTATAAGATACTATGAAATGATCTCTTAACTTGCATTCACCTCCAAACAGCATACAGAAGAGCCAAATATTTGTTCTTTCTGGACAAATCTTACTGTTGCATGATTCAAGTAGGACATTTAGGTGGTCAAGGAGACTTGCGAGACTGATATATTTAAGAAAAGGCAAAATGAGATATTTTTGGTAAATTGCATTTCCTTATTAGTCATCACTTCCCTTTTTATTCTGAGAAGCAGCCCTCTTCAGACGTGTTCGTTTTATTTGGCAGAAGCGTAGATAACTCCAGATGTTGCTGATTCTTTTTCAGTTCATCGCCTCAGGAAACTTCAGTTGCACCTGAGAGAAAATAGAAGCCAACCTGGAAGAAAAAGAAAAGAGATATATAATAGCCTTGATAGAGGGAAAGAAAAATCAGATTAATTTATATGCTCTGGATGATCTCTAAATGTTTCCTTAAAGATGAATTAAAAGCCTTTTAATTCACAAAGAGCTGAGTTCAGGGCCTTGTACATCTTCTATTAGAGCTGAAAACATGATAAAGAGATGGATTTTCAAGCTTCCCTTAAGGGTCTACTATTGCAATGGAAAACAGAGCATTAAACTTTGCAATTGGCAAGTAAGTAGAAGTGATAATAACCTTTGATATTAAAGAGCAATGTCCTTGCCTTACATAAGTAGGTGCCATCTTATTTCAGCAGAGGTCTTTTTGCTCCAGATGGGCAAAAAATTGCCCCAGACTGAGGCACCTAGATTTTTAGCTGTGGACCATTGTAATTTTAAATCTGCAAATACAATGTGTTATCTACCATGGCTTTCACACATTTGAAGTTTGTTGAAGGATATTCTTGCTGTTCTAATCTACAAAGGATAAAGCCTGAGAAAACACTGATTTTTTTTGCCATTCTTTCGGATACGTTTCTTTGCTTACATTCTTTGTTAAATCAACAGAGGTTGATGAGGTTAATGACACACAGACCTTTTCCCTTCAGAGCAGCAGTTCATCTCTAGTTCTTACTGCTAGATGCTGAAAGTCATTCCATCTAAAATAAAAGAAAATAAAATTTAAAAAAGAAAAGGGGAAAGAGAAGAGAAGAGAAGAGAAGAGAAGAGAAGAGAAGAGAAGAGAAGAGAAGAGAAGAGAAGAGAAGAGAAGAGAAGAGAAGAGAAGAGAAAAAAGAAAAAAGAAAAAAGAAAAAAGAAAAAAGAAAAAAGAAAAAAGAAAAAAGAAAAAAGAAAAAAGAAAAAAGAAAAAAGAGGAAAGAAAAGAAAAGAGAAAAGAGAAAAGAGAAGAGAAGAGGAGAAGAGAAGAGAAGAGAAGAGAAGAGAAGAGAAGAGAAGAGAAGAGAAGAAAAGAAAAGAAAAGAAAAGAAAAGAAAAGAAAAGAAAAGAAAAGAAAAGAAAAGAAAAGAAAAGAAAAGAAAAGAAAAGAAAAGAAAAGAAAAGAAAAGAAAAGAAAAGAAAAGAGAAAAGAAAGAAGGAAAGGAAAGGAAAGGAAAGGAAAGGAAAGGAAAGGAAAGGAAAGGAAAGGAAAGGAAAGGAAAGGAAAGGAAAGGAAAGGAAAGGAAAGGAAAGGAAAGGAGGAAAAAGCAAAAACATGTCATCTAGTTAATGGCACATAAGAATTCACAAGCTTGCAACTTATGAGACAGAGCTTTCCATGTCACTAAGCAGAATGAGCAGGCTTGGAGTATGAATAATGTGCCAAAGTGTTCCTCTGTGACACCCCAGGAAAGCTCAGCAGACTTTCCTGTCCAGGGCTGGAAGACACCAAGATTTCCAGGCTATTATCTTCCACTGGAATAACATTCAGTCAAAGATAACTTGCTCCTTCTGGTGAAAGTACTTCCATATAAATAAGGGAAGGAGTGGTGTTCTTTGGAAAGCAGTCTGGTATCACTTCTGACAGATAACAGCGATTGTGATGAAGAGTAAACACCTCAGTCACGGGGTGATGCAGAGCACGCTGATGCACCCTGGAAGCAGCACCACAGAACCGCAGCTGAAGGCTGAATCACTGCTGTATCTAATTAGGCACATCAGTTAGATATGCAAGCCTCCAACAGTCTGAGAAGGGCTGAGATTGCTAATACCAATCTCTTATTGTCCTCACGGCTCAGAAGAGGTGATGGTTGATAAGATTAAAGAAATAGCATTTGGTATTAGAGCGGTCAGTAGCTTTCTGGTTGCTTGTTGGGGGGAAGGTGGGGCAGGCAGTTAAGTGATGTTGCATCATTTTGTGATTTGGCCCTCTGACTAATGTCAAGGTAAAGAAATAAATCGCTCGTATTTAATGTGTTGGTGAATAACAGCAGGCCCTTGATTTTCTAATGCAGTGTCATTTGAATTGTATATGCTATCGAATCAGACAAAATATGTATTTATGCATTAGGTTTCTTCAAAATTCCTAGTATCTTTTTTAACAAGATGCAGGAAAAATAACTGAAATGCCGATCTTTTTATTCCTAGGTTGTTTGTGACAAAGCATCAGCAACGTCCTGCGCTGAACATGATTCACGTAAGGAGCAGACAGTGGATACTGAGTTTGAAATGGGGCTAATCAACAATCTTTGGAATAAAGAAGTATCTTAACTCAAAAATGTTGATGCATGAACGAATGTTATTCTCTGTGCGCTGAGTTACTGTTTAGGGGACACATCTACACAAGCAACCATACTGAATCTGTTCAGTGCCATTCACAAGCAAATTAAATTTCAAAATCTGACTGTATGTGCATGTGTGTGTCTAAATATCTCTAGAGAAATTACTTATTTATTTTCTACTTTGCTCAAATTTTTCCTCTTCCAGTGCGCTCAGTTCATTCCTGGAGTCACTCTATTGACGTTAACAGTGGGGTATCAAGGAGGTATTTTGCTCTTCTACTAAATTTTTAGGATAAAAGTTTCTGGGACAAGGCCACACACAGCTGCAGGCGAGCTGTCTGATCCAGGCAGGGGACTGATGTGGGGGTGGAGGAAGGTCTGCTTCTCTGGCCTTGGGGGACAGCACAAGTCCAAGCTGGGTAGTGTGTGATAGAGCAAGGCAGCAATGCAGAAATGCTAAAGAAGGTGGGTGTCCTGGCCCCTAGACTTTTAGGGACAATTTGATGGAGGATTGTTGGAGAGGCCCGAGGAAGGTGTGCCTTGTGAAAGAGCCTGGCAAAGAGCAGGTGTGAAGGAGGAATGGTGCAGGGGATGTCAGAGCGCTGTGGCAGCTCATCTCATTGATGGCCAGCTGGACAAGGTGTCATTGTGCTCTGCCTCTCAGGCAGACAGTAGTTGAAGAAGATGAGGGGTAAGGGAACACTGAAGAAAGAGGATGAACAGATTACTCTAGCTGGGAAGACAGTGCTGTGGGTGTCTAACCTAGGCAGTGTTAAGTATTGCATGTAGCCTCTGAGTTGTCTGAATGAACACAAAAATGCAGGATCCTCTTGAAAATTAGGGTGCAGCTCCATGTTATGGATCCTTCATCAGTGGATCCAGTATACCCTCTCCCACTCTTCTTTGACCCCACACAAGGATCTGCTGCCTCTAATGCTGTGTCTGTTCTACTGCTGGTGTGTCCAGGACTGGTGAAAATGGGATGACTAAAGAAAAAAGATTATGTCAGGAAGACAATAGAGAAACAGGTAGGTAATAGGAAAAAAGTGCTTCTTTAGAACCAAATCATTTTATACCTCTGAGTTATCTGAGTTGGTGCAAAGGAGAGGGATAACCAAACCTTCTTGGGGATTGGAGGGGACAGAGATGAGCAGGGGTGGTGTGGGTGGGGCTGAAAAGTTTCTAGCCAGTACTACTCCCAAGGGATTGGAAATACCATAATCCACTTTTAATAGTTTAGAAACATCTAATGTTTCTAAAAAACCAGGTGTGCATATGGACAATGGTCATGTCTGGAGAGCAGGAGCTCTACCCGGTCCAATAAATCAGCTCCCTGCTGCTGAGCTGCTTTTTCTGTCCTCCATGAGGGAGTCCAGATGCCCAGCTGCCCCAAGTACCTGACTCTTAGAGCACCCAAATGAGCTCAGATGAGTGCTACCCATACCCTATAAATAGTTCATATATTGTCCAAGTTTACAATTAAATCCATTAACTAGCTTGATTATGAACAGATTCTGTAAGCACCTCAAGTTGGACCTATTTTAACGATGGAAAAACCTCTTGTCTGTAGGTTACATTGTTAAAGAAATATGATCAACTTCCACTTAGGGTCATTATTTGCCAAATATAGCTTCTTGCCAGCACTGAAAAATCATGTTCTGCTGGAAGAAATTCCTTAAACACTTGCCATCCCTCAACTTTGCTTCCATCCACTATTGTTTCTAGAAGGAATAAAACTCCAGAGTGCTTGAAGCAAAAAAAATACCTCTACTTTTCTTTGTCATTTGAACGTGACTTAACCTCTTCTCTAAGGACAGCTGGCCTTCACTCTCCAGTGGGGATACAATGAAGACTTGATACTGGAAAGCTGGAAGACCTTGCTCAAAGAGTCATTTTATCTAATATGGCACCACAGTCGCTACAGTGACCCTGTAATCATTTTATGTTTACTGGCTATAATAACCATATGAAATGAATGTGCTACATGGTATACTATGTACAGAAAACCCGAGGCAGAACTAAGGTTATTTAGGCACCCATTTGAATATAATTAGAAACTATTTCTTCAGTTTAGAATACTTGGTTTGGAGATAATTAAATAACCATGTAAAAGACACTGTAAAAGATAAATATGTATTTAGTCACCCAGCTATCTTGCTAGAGTTTTGGTCTGGCAATTGTTACAGCTCTGCATAACTATAACTCAGCAATATGGTATGTAATACATTATTATTACCTGGCCATTGATCAGATGAACTGCTGCTTCTGGCTGCTTCTCCAAGCCAGCTGAAGCTGATCTTGTGTCCCAAGCTAGATCAGTGCACTAAGTCCCCAGCTGTCCAGAAGAGCTGTGTTTTATTTATCATAATTGTAATAACATTGTCTGCTCTTAAATAAGGGATTCTACTTTTGTTTATATCCTGTTTATAAACTAGATTAATTCAGTTGCAATTTTCTTACCTGGAACAACTAGAGATTACTTTACTGAACCTTTAGTTGTTGCCCAACACTTTTAATAACCCACCTGCATAGTTTGTGATCTCCTGCAGGTAGGGAACAGAAGTATGTTTTAAAAATAAGTCTGTATATTTTGTGTGCCAGTATGTGAGACATTTTGGAAGGGTTTGGTGTTCATAAAGTGCAGATCATCTGCCTTTTGATGAGCAGGCTTGTCAAAGCATCCCAAAATAAGTGTTTAAATCCTGTACATTACCTTGGAAAAGATAAACCAGTCTATCTGGGATTACTGGCTATTAATTAATTTCTGTGATTCTTTTTTTTTTTTTTTCCCTTGCACTGTGGAGAATAAAAGGGAGAAAGTAACTAGTCACTGTGTGCCTTTTTTGTAGTTTGAAACTTCTGGGTTTTGTTCCTTTCCCACCCTGTCATCAGCAAAAACTGCGGTTTTCAGGTTTCCCCCCTTTTCCTTTCCCATTAGTCGCTCTATTAAATATGTTAATTGTAGTGTCCCAGATTACTGGGAGCTCCTTAAATCAAAGCCATGAGACTTGGTAGCAAGGCGCTTAGCTATGGGCTTTGCTGATGATAACTGCATCATATGAGTATTCATACAGAACTGATTGAGCCCCTGAGGCCAGATGCTAGAGCTGTTTTGTGCTGCTCTGCCACCATAATGCAAACTTCAACAGAGTTTTCAGGTCTGCTTGAAGCCTGTTTCCAAGTGAGGAAGTCCTGCCATACTGGCTTTGGTGCTGGTGTATCTCTTGCAAAACACAGCCCTCACTGGAAGGAGGGAATTGAGGCTGAAAGATGTAGCCCAAATGGTCTGGCCACGAGGGCCAATCCCATTCATTGCGTACTTCATACTTCATAGCTGAGAGGAGTTGGATGGTTTTTGTGGCTAATGTTGTTTTTACAGTTCAAGACTTAGAGAGGCCTAAAATAATAACAATAATAACAAACAATTAAGAATTTTTTTATTTTTATTATTGTTACTACTGCTGCTACTGTCACACAGTCAAAATCGACAGTGTTCACTACTGCACAAACATATTGAAGAAACTTGCACTGGCAGCTTTAAAATTTCCCTCACTGTGCATCTCTGATCCTGCTTTTGGCTTTTCCCAAGGTATATTTGTTGAAATGGGCTGGTACATGCTACATCTTAAAACAGCTACAAAGGAGCTTTATTTGTACTGCCTGTCATTTCAAGCTGGAAGAATTCAGTATCTATCTCACTGCCTTTGCCATATGCAGTTGGGTTTTCTCCTTCCCCTCTGTAATTCTTCTGGGGACACTGCATAATAAAAGTCTCAACTTAATCAAGAAAAATTCAACATGTGGCACGGCAAGGGAGAGCGTCGGGATTTAAAAGCGTAAAGCAAACAAACAAGCAGGCCCTTGTGATGTCAGACTAATAACACATTTGCTGCTGTGCTCTCCGGCTTGCTGGTGTGTGTACTGTTTCCCTGTACAACATTGTTCTGGGCTTTGTTTCCTTCGGCTGCTCTGCCCGAGAGGGTTCCCTGCTGCCAGGGGGCTGCTGGGACACCAGCAGGTGTCTGAATAATTGGAATAAAAATTCTTTTAGAAAGAAGCAGCTCATGGAAAAGAAAACCCTGTCCTTAGATTAAAAAAAGTAAAAATAAAATAAGAAAAAGATCTTCATTTTCCAGGGCCATTAGGAGATTCAAATCTTCCTTTCTCTTAGTTAGAGATAAAAAAAAAGTCACACACATGAAGGAGCAATTGTTCCAGATTGGAGCGGGCTCAGCACAGCATGTGATGAGGGGAACTGTGTCCTGTGAGCCTATGAGAAGTGGAGGCTGTTTGTGGCATAGAGTCCAGTGCTTGATTCCTGGGTCAACACCACAGAACAAGGCTGTGCTTTGTCACTTGTGGCAGTGCTGCCCCGTGGAAAGCCGATGAAGGACTAGCCACCATTCCACACACAGTCATCGTGGTTTTTAAACCCCCATTTCCCACACCCTTTTTGAGTGCAAAGACTGACTGCTGTAGCAGAAGCTGGCTGCCTAGGCACAGATGGATGTGGGTGTCTTTTGCTGCTTGGGCACCCAGTAGCATCCAGCAGTCCAAAAAGGATGTTGATGCTGTGGGCCAGCCTAGCCGCAGGGTCCAGCTGGTGGGGCTCGCTCCCCACAGAGGCAGAAAGCATCTCCCATACCCCTGTCCCTCAGCCCAGGCTGCCTCCCTTTGGGCTCTGCTCTGCTTGCCTTTGCCACTGGCTACTCCTGGCCAAGCAGAGGGAGGAGGACTCCTTCCACTTGGTATATGAGGGGTGTGGAGCTGGATGTGGTGGATGTCTGTGCTCCAGGTTGAATTAACTGCTCCCTTGAAGGCTTTGGGAAGGGTGAGAGAAGAGGGCTGAGCTCGCAGGTGTGGATGTAGGCTGGAGCAGCTGGGAAGTAGCTGCTTGTAGGGACTTTTGGTGCCCGTCCTAGAGGAAAGACCTGGGCCATTTTAAGGCATCCCTATGCATGAGGTGGCAGGTTAGGCAGGAACATGCAGCTGTTGGGGGTGGAAGAGAGACAAGGTGCTGGAAATTTGGTCCCAGCTCTGAGAAGGGGCAGCCTGTCCCTTGCAGGGTCAAGCAAGGTAGAAGTGTGGTGAGAGAGCCCAGATCAGGTCTGGGAGGTGTCCTGGGACTGGTGGTGGGCATGGATTTTAGTGTTATCACTCCAAGTGCTCCACAGAGGAGTGAGGGCTGCACCCAGACTGCATGCAAGGTTGCCTGTGTGCTGGCTCTCTGGACTTCAACCCCAGGGACAAATTAATTCTCTCTTGCATGTGATTTCTCCTTCAAGGCCACATCAGATTCCTGCATAGAGTGTAAAATACCAGGAAGCCCACCCACATTACAAGAAAGGGAGCAGGATGAGCAGTGGTTAGAAGAAAATCCCTGTGGAAGGACATTGAGTGGGCTGGGTCCTTGCATTTGCAATGGGAAGGGGAGAATAGGGCTTAGTAGCTGAGTGTGTAAGAGCCTCATAGCTTCTGCGATCATTTTGGCATTCAGCATGTTTATGAATAATGAAATAAACTGGTGTGACATGAGGGAATAAGCTGTAAAGTGTCACAAAGCACCAGAAACAAAATCCATCCAAAATGCTTCTTTTCTTCTTGAGGAAAACCTAAAACAACTTTTCTGATTACCTGACAGTCCATTTAATCCCCAGGAAACATTCCTTTGTTACAGTTTCAAGGAGAATTACTTGAAATAATCCTTTGTACAATGCACTTCATTCTATTTTAGTTTTAAATCATGTCCCTTTTCTTTTTTGATTTTTTTTTTTTAAGGGAAAAAGAAAAAAGACCCCTAATCAATGCCTATGGAAGAGCTGAGGGCAAAGCTGAGGCTTTCTGGTACAAGGATTGCCTTTGTGAGGAGATCTGTGCTAAAGAGACCAAGACTGCAAGGGCTGAACAAGAAATAATAATAATAAAAAAAATAAGGAAAAAAATAATTCCCTGAAGCTCAAATCATTGCAATTGCACAGTGCAGATTTGGCCATCACTGTGCCCCTGAGATGAGGAATGGTCCTTGATGGCTCTGCGTCACACGTGGGTGCCTTCAGCAGGGCTTTGTGCTGCCAGTGACCCAGATTTAGGAGGAGACCTGGGGTCTCCAGCACAGAGATCTTCAAGGCTTTTGAGTGACACATGGTCAAGG